CGTACAATCAGTTCCTCATGGATTAGCGACTAAAAATTTCAATAGTGGATCAAAGTAATTTCTATGTATATCATGGTGTTAGATTGTCTCTACACAACATATAGGATGTTTAACGACATAATATGAATCGCTTAACTGTTGAGTATAGGTTTTAGCTGAAGTGAAAAAATATCTTCTACTTTAGCTAGCTTGTTTGACCACATGGTGTCATAATTGTTGATCTGATACTCTTCTGGCCTTCTAGCCGATACGGTTCTTTCTAGGCTTATATTAAGCGCCATGTTGCAGTTCTTAAGCATATCCTTTGCTATCTTCCTAAAGAAAAATAATGAGGGAATATGTTCTCAAATGACAAGCAAAAGTAGTGAATGCAAGCTGCATTTGCATAAATGCTTGCGTCATATCCAAGATGGCCGGATTGACAAGATAATCAAGAGCAAAAGAAACGGATTATTCCACTCACTACTTATTGTGATCTCCTGTTTCTCAAGTCATCATCTTTAGCACACGACTCTGTGAAAGCCGTAATTTCTGAGGTTATAATCACCAGAGAAACTGATTTATCTCGTGCGCAATGAAACTAATGGTCAGTGTATTAAGGATGATGCTTATACGATTCTTCTGAAAAATCTTGCAAAAACCAAATAAAATGGAATTTAGGTTGATACGTTCAAAAAAAAATGGAATTTAGGTTGAATTGATCCGTCAGGGGTGAGTTTTTTTATGAGAGATGTGCAGTATGAGGTCATACCTGCTATTTGTGGAAGTGGTCCACCACCAGTAAACATTGCTACTAGTGGTATCCACCAAATTATATCAAACAAAAAGGCAGAGTCCACTATCATATTTACAAATTCGCTACACCTGGCTTTCTCAAACGCATGCAGGAAATCCAATGGTTTTATCTTCTGTTTGCTAGAACAAGTAGTAAGTTTCATATACATAGAACTTGTTCAACTGCTGGATGAATTCTGAAAAAAAGGGGTGAAAATCTACAACTTTTCCAATGAATTTCTATGGATCTTTATCTGTTCCATAGAGTGCTCAAAATAAAGAGGGTATTACGTGATGACCCAAAGAAAAACAAATGATGTTCATCAGAAATCATTGATATGGTGATTCATTAACTATGTCCATCTCTGACACTGTATAGTAGTAATGCTGAAGCTGCACTAACTCTTTAATGATCAGGGCTACGTTCGCTTCGCTGAAAAAACAAGACGAAACATTGTTCCGGCTGATTTGTTGCGAGAGAAAAACACTGTTCCGGCTGAAAAAAACAAGCTGAAAAGTACGGATTATAAGACAAGCGAACAGGGCCTAGGTTGATGTGCTAAACAACTGCTTCTTGGTTAGAGAAAAAGCCTCAGATCTTGGGGGTCACTGTTAGTGTTGTGCCTTTCCCATCATTCCTCCCAGGAAAGAAAGGTAAGCTGATAAGCGATAAGATAGGTGATGTGGCAGTGCACCAAAACGTCGTGCAACCTACGGCTCAGATTGCACAACAGTGCACGTCACCATGATATGTACTCCTATATTTATATATTTATTTATTTACAAAGAGAGAGAGAGAGTTAGCAGCAATTCAACTAGTCCAGTCCATCTTGCCCAGCACCAGCAGTTAGTGAACGTCAATTTTACAATTCCACTAGTAAGCTTGCTGTTACTGGACATTGCTGCACCACCATGCATCAGATTAGTCTTCATCAAAGGATGATGAAGCCAGTAAATCTGAACAAGAGCATGAAAAGTTCATGTTTAGTCAGCTGAGAGCCTGAGATTAGCACAACAATCATCTGATTAGCACTGCTGTGAAGAGATCAGGAAGGAGGGTTTTACTTAGAGAGGAAGCTAAACCAGCAAGCATCTGGAGATAGAATTTCTGCTGACATGAAAGCATGGAAAGGTGACGTGGACAGCACCATGTTGGATTGGAGGAGGATAACCCCACTTGGAGTATAGTCATCTACCTCCAGCCCCTTTATCCTACCTTCTTATCACCATACTCTCTTTATATCAAAATCCATATCTTCTTCTCATCCTCCTCCTTATCCCGTACATTGTCATTCAATCCACGTTATTCGTCATTCCAGTGGCAAGCCTCGGATCGGTTTTCACCCGAGTGCGAATCCTCTGTCACTTTTCTTGCAAGATTTGCAAGGCTTGGTAAATGGTGGTCAGGCACGCGGTATCCCAGAAAGAAGATGGTAAATGGTGGACAAGCAGAGGTGGTCCCAGAAAGAACTTGTCTCACACTTATCATAAAAGGACAGTACGAATTTCACCTGAAACAACAATTGGTCAAGCAATTCCACGTGAATTTCAAGCAATAGCAGCACGATTCATCTCAGATTCGGCATGGAAAAAAGAGCAACTTTTCACAGATTGAAATTTAGAGAAGTCACAAGCTCCATGCGTGAGCTTTTGGTGAGTGGAAGAGCTGAGGTACTCCATGTGCTTTTGGCGAGTGGAAGAGCTGAGGTACTCCGTAGCAGTGAGACGACCGTCCTTCTGGTCCCTGGAAAGCCAGGCCGACCCACAGAGAGGCCTGTGCCACATCCTGCCAAAAACGTGTTGTGCTTTCACGCAGCACAAGCATTAGCATATAGCATATCAGCGGAAAGATAGAGCAAGTTGCCAACAAATAGTGAACTGAGTGGAGCAAAATTTGTGCATGAAAGTTTTCAGATTCCCGGCAACAACTGGGGGCGGTACTAACCATTCTCCACATACTTTCCATCTTATCTTCAGAAAAGGATCTTCCATTCTTCCGTCGGTAAATAAAAAATACAGCTGGCTGTGCTACAGCAGTTTGCAGTTTTGAAGCTGCGGCGGCAGCCGAAAGTAGCTAAAGCAAATGATCTTACACAAGGACAAGCTTATCGGACAACCATTCTTCTGCCGGTAAGGGTAAACAAATGCAAACACAAACTCAAAAAAGACTAACAGCAATGATCTTACATTATGAACAAATTTATTGGACACAAAGGTATGCTTATAGCTGATTTGTCTCAACAAAATACTAGTTCTGCAGAAGTTGGGGCTCACTAAAATCATGATCCAGTGGCACAAGTGTTGGAAAGTATTACAATCAGGATTGCGCATCCAAAGTTGCATCACAGGAGAGAAGGAATCCACCAAAGAAATGATGCGTCAGAATCTAGCCATCTTGTAAACCTCCTGAATAAAGTTTGAACCTTATTTAGGAAGAGCAGCACCATGGATGAGCTATTTGATATCAACTCTTGCCGCTCTCCTCCTCTTTCATCTTTTTCTCCCACCTACGTTTCTGGTGGAAAAAAGTTTCAAGCCAAACAGACAGATGAGCCAGTCAGATCTTTTTCAAGGGATGCCTTCGTTCGGTCACTATCATAGCTATCATTACATTTGGTCTAAAACACAAACATGGCATCTTTGTGCACCAAGGTCAATGCAGGATAAAAAGCTGGATCACCGACAACAGATATTTCACTATTTGAGTGGCCGCTAGACGAAACTAGTACCACAGTTTTAGAAAATATTTTCCAAAATTATGCGAATATTATTACTAGACTAGCAAAGTAGATAATGGCGAGCAACCATCAGGAAATCTTGCCATCAGTGCAGTAGAATTGCCGACCCTTATATCAGTGCACCAACAGAATCTATGGGTCTGCTTTACTGCTTTAGGTATTTTATTTATGTTCATTTTATAAGCTGGATTGTAGACTTTATGGAAATCTTGCATTAAATTTAAACATATACCTAGCGGACCATTGGCAGATGGTATGTTCGAATTGGGATCTTAAACTTTTTTAGAAAATACTCCAATGTTTCATCTCAGCCTTTTGTTTTGACTCACAAAGAACATTCGTTTGAGTGCTTTGAACTAGAAAGTTGATTTACCCTTGATGGCATGAGACAAGCTAAATTTAATTGGTTGACGACCGGCTGTAGGTTTTAGGATTCTAAAGACTGATAGGGCTCAATTACAGGTGCAGCAGTAAGACTTTGGTTTCACTGATTTCATAATGATACGTTAGCTGCTGATCCGATTGAAACCAGTAGCTTGATGCAGAATATCATTATACATAGGATCCAATTATTTTCAAACGCAAATGCTTATCTGTTGTTAAATTATGGTATCACTGAACCAGCCCACAAACACAAGCTTCTCTTTAAAATAAAGATTAGACTTAAATCTAGATCCCAAAATATATTTGGTCCAGTCTAGGTCCCAAATATATTTGGTGTACAATACGGGATAACCAAATTATGCTAATGCTAACGCCGTGACGACAATCCCAAATCTAATTGTTGCCCAAGCCCAACTACACCTCTACCTGCAATCCTGCATAAGCTAGCATTCCAGCCAAAATATAGCAGCTGAAGGAATTTTCCAGGGGAAATACCAAGATATCCTTCTGGCTAGCTGCTACGAAGCTAAAAGCCTAAAACAACTGATGCCCAGGTCTTGTGGCTTGTCAAGATCAGTGGTCAAGATTCTAAATATGACTATGTTTAGCATCGATCAAGCACAACATTGGTTTTGAAATTATGCAAAAGATAAGCCAACTTGGCTCAGCATAATCTCAATACATACTAGTCATTGAACCACAACATTACACAACAATAATACGCTTTCCTAGATTCTGATGTTGCTTATAGAAGAATAGGCCCAATAGACCCCATTACCCCGATATAAGCCGAAAAGGACTTAACAGGTTCTCAATTAGAGTAGCATATATCAGAATAGAACAGAATGACTACGATTGTTTACTCCTCTGTTATTTACCATGATAAAAGGAACCCAATGGAATTTGGATTTCAGTAATATGAAGGTTGAAGTTTGAGCAAATTCACTGAGAAGCTATTGCACTATAGACTAAGTAGTGTCAGCACAACAAAAACTTGGGAGGCTATTATGTTAGGATAAGTAGTCTTCAACAAAAAACTCATGTTAAGTATCAAGAAGTTGGCTAGATTCGGAGCAATCCAAAAGTACCAGCTAAACAATACATCTAAACCATTCCTGCTTCAAATTGGCATGGTTTCACTTTCACACAAGGATCGCTAACATCAGTGCAGGATGTATGTGCACACTGGATTGCAATGTAAATGTGCAACAGGTAGCAGAAGATAAACTAAGCTGAGGCAGACGCAAACCTATAGGGTAAGTATTGTTCAGCAGTTCAGCACAACAGAAACTTAATGTGAGAGGCTATTATGTTAGGCTAAGTAGTCTTCAACCCAGCTAAACATCAGGAAGTTTGCTAGATTCTGAGCAATCGAAAACTACCAGCTAAAAGATACATCTAAACCATAATGGCTTCAAATTGGCATGATTTTAAACAAGAGTCGCTAACATCAGTGCACTAGTGCAGGATGTATGCGCACACTGGATTGCAATGTAAACGCACAACACGTATTAGAAGATAAACTGCAGAGGCAAACCTTGTAGTCGAGCAGCATCTGGGGCATCTTCTTCATCAGCTCAACAGTATTTGCTCGCCTGAGAAACGGAAACAGAAACGTAACATCAATCAACTGACCCGGTGAGCAAACCGAACACACAGATGGAGGGGAGGGATGCAGGGGATGCGCGCGCCTACTTCTCGGCGGAGATGCGGTCGCACTTGTGGCCCTTGCGCTTGGTGCGCATCTCCCCGCGGGGCGGGTCATAGGTCCAGTCCTCGCCGGCGAGGAGCACCTCCTTGCGGACGCGGGCGCGCTTGCGGGCGCTGATGCCGAGCGGCTTCCACGCGCCGAGCTCCCAGTACCCCCACACCCCCTTCCCGAGCTCCCCCTTGTACTTGGCCAGCTTCTCCCTCCACGGGTACCCCTCTGCCCACCTCGCCGCCGTCGCGGTCGCCGCCTTCCCGGCCATCGTCGTCAGCTTCGATCGCTCTGGATCAGTTAGGGTTCACGCTGCGGCTTTGGGTAGTCGAGTGGCCACCTAATGGGCCTTTTGAGACTGGGCCACATTGAAGCTCATGTACTGGGCTTTAGTGGCACATAAGTGGACGAGTGAGAGATCAGGCCCAGTTAGGCCTTTATAAGCCCAACGGGCCCACTAAAACCTCCTCCTCCCTCTCCTTTTCTTCTCCCACGAAAACCTCGCAGCCGCCGCCGAACTCGAAGCAGCAGCCATGGTGCTCGCGCGCAAGAAGCTGAAGCAGAAGCTCCACGCGCTCCTCCCAGCCGGCGAAGCCGCCGCGGAGGCGCATGGCGAGGAGGTGGAGGCCGTGAAGGAGCGGCTCTTAACCTCCAAGCGGCCGCGCCCCAAGAGGGAGCGGAAGCCCAAGAAGAAGTCGCTCCCCGAGATGGTGCGGCAGACAGAGGAGGAGATTAGGGAGGAGATGGAGCGGAGGAGGGAGAAGAGGAGGAAGGAGAAGAAGGAGAGAAGGAGGATCAGGAGGTTGATGGAGGCCGAGGCCGCGGCGGCGGCGGCCGCGGAGCCGGAGACGCAGCAGGTGGATGGGGAGACGGGGGCGGAAATGGAGGGCAAGGAAGAGGCCGATTCTGCTGCTGGGTCTGAGTCTGACCAGCCTGTCGAGGCAGAGGATAGGTGAGTTAGGGCTTGGAAAGTTGATTCTTTTGCCCAGAAGGATTACTGAATTCGTGAAATTTTCATAGCAATAGCATGCTTGCATAGTGTGAGCTCAGAACAATAGTATAAGATATAAAATCAACAAATACAGGGGTTAACACTCGGCTTTGGGTCAGCCATCTTACTGTACTGTGATCTAATTGTGTGCCATTACATTATTATTGTTACTGTTGTTAAAAGAAAAGAATTCACTATTTTTTCTGTCAGCTTATAGTTGTATTAGGTTGCTTGATGTTGTTAACATCTTTTGAAATATTTTAGTGTGCTGAAGCTACTTTTAGTAGTTGTATAACGTTTTGTTGGCCTTGTATGCTCTTGTTTCAGCGAGCAAAATATAAACAAGGTGGAAGTGACCAAACCTGCTGTTGGGTCCAACAATCACATTGTTGCAGATAATAGGTAAGCCAGGGTACAATATAGTGATGCTCTTGTACTTGGAAATAATGTAGGTGATGGAGCAATTCTGCAGTCGAAGCTTGTACAGTGTGATCTTTGTCGGCACTAGTTGTGTAATGCTTTACATCTTTGTTTCAGGCAGCAGAATCACAAAGTGGAAATGGCCAAAACTGTTGTCGGGTCCGACAATCCTATAGTCGCTGAGCATAGGTGAGTTAGGGCCTGATAGATTGGTGCTTTTGTGCTCTTGAAAACAACCAGGAGTCCAGGACCTGTTGGGATATCTTAGTTTCTACAAACATGATATCAAGAAACTATAGTTTTAGAAACTGTGGCCATATAATATCTGCGTTTATAAAAGAGGTCCTAGATGAACTTTCAAAAACTTACAAGAGACTATTGTAGCAATATTGTGGTTTTCAATCTTCATCATTTGTTACATTCAAACACCTCTTAGTACCAAACACCTCTTAGTACCAAAAACCAAGTTATTTTGTTAAACCTAGCATTTTCCCAAAACTCAAAAAGAACTTCATATCCGAATATGTCCCAAGCCCCATTCTTGTTTGATTAACATGGCTGGGCATGGAAATAGGAGAAACATTGTTAAGATGCTGTCTTTGTGAGAACCAATAAGATCAGACACTCTTGTAGAGCATGCTAGTACAATGAGTTTGCTTACTGTGTAGGTCATGAACAAATCCAGGGGTTTAACTTGTACTTGGGTCTGTGCTGTTTTGCTATTATATTACTGAAGTAGTGTGATAATATGATAAAAAGAGGGTACCCATTTCTGGCTGCGATAATATAACACATAAAGAGTTAAGTCACCAACTTATTTGACTGTAAACTTATTTTCGCTCATAGTAGGATGCTTCCTCTCTTGAATGTTGTGTAATGTGTCGCGTCTATATTTCAGGGAGCAAAGTATAAAGAAGGTATATGTTGGTGGCATCCCATACTATTCATCTGAGGATGACATAAGAAGTTTCTTTGAAGGATGTGGCAGTATCACAGTGATTGACTGCATGACTTTTCCCGAGAGCGGGAAATTCAGGGGTATTGCAATTCTCACTTTTAAGGTCAGTTTCTGAGCCAGTTTTGCTTCTTTTAGTTTAGCATTCCTGTTTGTTTGGCACATCAAATTCTTATCCCGTATGCAAAGTTTGGTCTGTATAATGTTCAAAGTTCTTATTCCTTAATTATATCCAAATGTCAGTTTGACTTGTTAACTGACCTGGAATTAGAAACTGTATGTTCAGCAGATACTTTAGATGCATCAGGTTCCAACTGTATGATCTTAACTTCCGTGTTAATTCCACAGAACATAGAAATCAACTGGAATATCTGCATTGACTGCCTCTGCAATTCTTTTCATACGGCTTGCTATAACAATGTGTTTCACTTTTTATTTTTTGGAAATTGTATTCTGAGGTATCTGACTAACTGTTCTTTTTTCAGACTGATGCTGCCGCACAGAGGGCATTAGCTATGGATGGTGCAGATATGTAAGCATACAGCCTTCTGTGTGTAATCCCTCATTGTTTTAATCATGGGTAGTGACATTCTTGATAACCATTTCAGGGGAGGATTTTATCTGAAAATCCAGCCTTATAAACTTAACCGTGAGAAGGAAGATTTTGCACCAAAGTTGATAGAGGGATATAATAGGATATATGTTGGAAATCTGCCATGGGATATAACAGATGATGATCTAAAAAAGTTCTTTTCTGAGTGCAAAATTTCGTCCATCCGGTTTGGAACAGACAAGGAGACAGGTGAGTTCAAAGGTTACGCGCATGTTGATTTTTCTGATGGCACGTCTCTTGCTGTTGCTTTGAAGCTCGACCAGAAGGTGCTCAAGGGGCGCCCAGTCAGAATCAGATGTGCTGTTCCGAAAAAGGATAACCAAAAAGTCAATGATAATGGGAACTCAGATCAATTGAAAAGTAAAATTCGGACATGCTATGAATGTGGAACTCCTGGGCACTTCTCTTCTTCTTGCCCAAATAAGAAGGATTCTGAAGCAAGGAAGTGCTATGAATGTGGTGCCCCTGGGCATGTGTCTTCCGCTTGCCCAAATAAGAAGGATTCTGAAGTAAGGAAGTGCTATGAATGTGGCGCCCCTGGGCATGTGTCTTCTGCTTGCCCAAATAAGGATTCTGATGTAATTTCTGATGAAAAGGAGGCTAATGCTAACTCAGTCATAGCAGCCTCAAAGAAGAGGCGAACATGTTATGAATGTGGCATCCCTGGGCACCTCTCTTCTTCTTGCCCAAATAAGAAGGATTCTGAATTTATTTCTGATGAGAAGAAGACTAATGTTGACTCAGCCACGGCGTCATCGAAGAAGAGGCGGACATGTTATGAATGTGGAACTCCGGGCCATCTCTCATCGGCTTGCCCAAACAAAAGGGCATCAGACTCTGTTCCGAACAACAGAGAGCCTGTTGATGATGCAAAACCTGCAACTACCATCATGTCTGAGGAAACAAAAGTTGGCGATGAATCAAATCCAGCAGCTTCAAAGAAGAGGCGAAAATGCTATGAGTGTGGCATCTCTGGTCATCTCTCCTCGGCTTGCCCCAACAAAAAGGCTGCTGAGCCTGTCTGCAATATGGAGAAGCCTGACAATCACTCAAATACTGTACTATCAGTCATTGCTGATGAAAAGAAGGCCAGTGAAGACACAAAATCTGCACCTGCAAAGAAAAAGAAGAGACGGACATGTTATGAGTGTGGCATCGCTGGCCACCTCTCATCAGAGTGCCCAAACAAGCCAGCTGCTAAGGTCTAATGACAGTTGGCGTCACCGGTCATCTCTTGATGGAGGGCCTGAGCAAACCAGATGATTGTAGCATCTCTTTTTTTCTTCCATTCTCCAAGACTTAGTTTGATTGTATTGTATGGTCTGTTCCTTGATATGAACAGTGAAGTTATCTCTGGAGGAAAAACGAAGTTCTGTAGCAGGAAATGTAGGCATACTAGACACAAGGATTTCTCATTCCCTGTCAAATTTTGATAGCATGATATCACAAGATTTATTACATTGGAAAAGATTCATTAGTATCATCATCTATATCAACTCTTTTGTTTGAAAAAATTGTGTAATGGGCTTCATGAACTGGACTGTGGGCGGCAGCGTCCTACGCCTCCTGCACTGCAGACTATAAGAGCTGGTCCCCTAATTCCCCGAGTTCTGCTGCAGGTAACTTACTTCTGCTATTTCTGCGTCAGTTTCTTTCTTGTTTGATTTATCAAGGGGACTTGTGTGCCTCTAGAGGTGCAAAGAAGCACGAAGAAATTGATCCAAATGATACCTAAAACCATGACAACCGGCCATGGTTAAGGGTGAAAGAAATGATACCCAAAACCATGACAACCAGCCGTGGTTAAAATAAAGAAAACTTTTGGGTGATCTTAATCCACTGAATTTTGATCTAAATGCCCCTCCACCAAACATACAAATGCAGTGATCCTTGACATAAGTATCGTGATTAGTGCCCTACGAGCATCTCCAAGCGACTCTCCATAACTTTCTTAAATGCTAGAATAGAGATTTTGGTACAAAACTACCACGGCTTCTCCAAATGGTCTTCTATTCCGGATTTTTCTCTAGCCAAAAATAGAAGTTCCAAATAGTCATTCAAATATAGCCATCTTCTATTCCGGATTTTTCGCTACAAAAAATAGAAGACGAGGATGGCTCCTTAAAGTGCGCATAAGATAGAAAAACTGTTGCAGGATGAAAAAATATAGAAAGCAATTTTTATGCCTATGGTTCTTCAAATGATGATTTAAAGAGCGAGATTTAAAAAGCCTCTCGAAGATGCCCTAACCATAGTAGCAAGCACTACGAGATGCTAACCCCGGCCCTCTCT